ATATCATTGTCTGGAAATAGTATAAGAAACATGTGTATATATCATTGTCTGGAAATAGTATAAGAAACATGTGTATCATTGTCTGGAAATAGTATAAGAAACATGTGTATATATCATTGTCTTGTGTAACAATATGACTATATTGTATATTGTATAATGGTAGTGTTCAAGCTGGCTCCAGTACCCCGTGTATAGTTGGGTGGCACCCTTATCTGAATAAAAGATGGAGCACAGGTCACATGTTGTCGTTCCTCTCTCAGACCAAACAAGCTTTACCATAATATAGAGGTAGTATTACATGGGGGCAGAACCCTAAGAACTTTACAGTATGGCATTATCCGGAATCCAAGCACCAGAGTTGGACTGGACTTCGTCGAACTTGCCAGAAACTTCGCGTAAGTTTCGCCAACACGCTCAGCTAATCTTCAACGGTCCTTTGCAGGAGAAAGATGAAGACGTCTTGCGCACGTACCTACTTATTTGGGTCGGACAGAAGGGTAGAGATATTTACACCACATGAAATTTGCCTGTCGAGAATGGAAAGAAATTAAAGTCGTACTACGATGGCTTCGACACATTGTCGAGAAAGTTTATGCCCGACACATTTCCAAGCCTTTCAGAAGGTATGGAAGTCCATGTGCACACCATAATGTCTAGCTTACCTGTAAGTTCTCGCAAGATGGGAGAACTCAGACTCGCATGTGAATCAGATCAACAAATGGTCACTCTTACAAACACTATACATGAGGGCTGTCCTGATCCGAGAAAGGATTGTCCTTTATCAGTACTCGAGTTCTGGAACCATCGTGACGAAATGTCGGTTATGGATGGTATCATCTTCAAAGGTCTAAAGTCTAGAGACTTTACATACTGGTCATATGGGTATTGAGAAGTGTCGTCGTAGAGCCAGAGCCATAATGTTTACTCTCTTAGACAAACCAGACTCTTTAACCCACCGTTGTGTAGAACTATTTTGACAGTTTTTTCCCCTTTATGTGCCGCGATGTCAACACTATGGTGTACTGATATGTTGAACTCTCCATCTCTTGCTCTTTTTAAAAAATTACAAAATAAAGATAAAGTTAATGACAGAGAAGTAACTTCAATTTTTGGATGCATAATGATAAATGAGATTACAGTTGAGTAGGTTTGTTATATCATGTTTATTTTCTGTTCAATATAATAAACATAATATTATATTGCCTTTGTCACATTATTTAAATTTGTACTTTTACTCATCAACAGTATTAGTAGCAATGACCTATGCACATAAATGCACATGGACTTTTGGTCAAAGTCTACTTTTACTGTACATATGATACACTGACTGTGACTATGCTTTATTTAATAAGAAAATAATTGTATGTGTGTTGGATGTATGATTGTGAGTTGTTTGTGTATTGTTATTGTGATGTCCTATGATGAGTTTATCTCCTTTGTGTTTGTCATGTTGGAGTTATCTCCCCTTATCCTTTAATCAGTATTACTCTTTATAATTTTTCATTTCAAAGTATCCTTAAATTAATTCATCATTATTGTTGTAACTACATTGTATATATGATCAAATTTTGAGCCACTCATGGAAAGAATTTATATAGGCTTGCCTGTTCTTCAATCCATTTGATTATAACATCTGTCAATAAAATTTGTTGAAATGAAATGAGACATAATGTTTTGGCCTCAAATGAACAAGGACATTTCAGACTTGGTTCTCAACTGCAATGTATGCATTGAGTTAAGAAACTCTAACCCAAAAGAACCTCTCTTACCACGTAACATTCCAGACAGACCATGGCAAATAATAGCCACTGACTTGTTCTCGTGGAATGGTGAAGACTTTGTTGTCATAGTAGATTACTTTAGTAGATATTTGAAGTCAGCAAACTGTCAAGTACTACCAGTAATTCAGTAATTGCTTAGCTTCAAGATGCATTCTCTCGTCATGGCATTCATGAAAAGGTAATATCTGATAATGGTCCCCAGTACGCCAGCGAGAAATTTATAGAATTTGCTCACACTTGGGATTTCATTCATGAAACATCTAGCCCGCATTTCGCCCAATCTAATGGATTGGCCGAAAGAACGGTTCAAACAGTAAAGAGAATGTTCACAAAAGCTAAGGCCTACGGGAAAGATCCCCATCTCGCAATCCTCGAGTTTCGTACAACACCACTTGATACTGGTTTATCGCCATCTCAGCTGCTCATGGGTAGACGCTTACGCTCTGCCATACCTACCTCCGATGAGCAATTGAAACCGCTTTATCTCAAATCCAAACTCCGCAATAAGTTCCAAACCGCTAAAAACCGTCAAAAGTCGTACTTCGACAGAGGCTCGAAACCACTTGATAATTTGGACAAAGGAGAAACATGCACATATAATGCGTGACAACCGATGGAAGCCTGCCCGAGTCATCAAACAAAATGATGCAAGGTCGTGTACAGTCGCTACTCCGGATGGTGGCATAACCGACGCCACATCCTCAAAACAAAAGAACCATCGATGACTGACCTTGACCTCTACAGACCCTCTACTAGTACCCTCTATAATGAGTCAAATCCATCCCGTATGTCTGCAAGAAATGTCGTTCCCCAAGATATTCCTGATAGCCTGCAGCTACAGCATCACCCCAACAAGTTGTAGCACTAGCAAAACCTCCAGACCTATCAAATGATTCAGGCTACATCACACGTTCAGGTCGCATAGATAGTGAAACAGAAAGTTATCCAATCAATGTGAATTGTGTTTATTGACATCCGTTGAATTAGTTTGGTAATGAACTTTAAGATTACCAGAGACATGTGTTCTGTTATTTCATTGAATATGTTTTGTTATGAAATTTACCAAAGAATGGACCTCGAGGAATTTTGAAAGACAGTGATCAAATATTTTCAGTTTAATTGTATTAATTATCGTATAATTATGGATGTTCTTGTACCATGAGCTATAACCATTATAATATTAGCATGTTGTAGTTAAACTATGATCATATGTTATAATCTCATATGTGGTATCATCAGTATATATAAGAGACTTGAACAATCATCATTGAATATGACCTTTAATCTTGAGAAGAGAGATGTAACAATATGACTATATTGTATAATGGTAGTGTTCAACCTATACTAAGATGTAACTAGATTGATCTCCCTTGGTTGGCTCCGGTATCCCGTGTATAGTTGTGTGTCACCCCTAACCCGTTAGGGGGTCCCCCTTAAAAAAAACAGGATTTTAGAAGGGCTCAGAAGCCATTTCCCGTGTTCTGGCATGGGTTTATTAATTTGCTCCATTAAAGAAAATAACACTTGACGTTTATATTATAATTTATGTATTTGGTAAAGGCAACTTGTTATGCTCCATATGGGAATAGGGCATTTATTTCAACGGCTCAAGACGAGGTTATATTACCGAGTTGGAATACTTTTTCCTGGAGTGCTGATCGATTGTACTACTTTTAGCTTTGCAACTTGCTCCTATTTCGTTGCATATGTTTTTTCTCTTGATATTAGCGGGGCAATTTAATCAATAGAGTCGTCGTGGAACTAGAACACTGACAGGTCAGTAAGGGCCCCGTCTTGTGGCAATTATATCCCCCATAATCATCCCCCAGAAGCAATCTGCCCATATAGCTGAGCTTGACGTTTGACATTTGGACTTCAAAAAGAATCGTAAGGAAGCAAAATATACATTTTACATGTACTATGATATGATGTGTTTCCTTCCACCTCCATATTTGCTGGGCTAACAGAAATGTAATTCCCGGTGCAATACTCATTTGTTAGCTTTGATTTGTTTTAATTCACCTTATATACCTTCTCCATCAAGAGCCAGGGTCAAGTCAGAGATCCACTTTGTCTTTGACCTTTGGACCCAAATGACCTTGACTATTAATCCAGTGACCCTGATTTTTGGTCAGTTGACTTATTCTTTAATTCCGACCAACTTTGCTTCTTAATATCATAACAAAATGTTCATCAGTGAAAAATACAAAACTTGACCCTTTGGACCCCTCACCTGGAACTAAGGTCAGTTGACTCTATGTTAAGTTCTGAACAACATTGCTTCATAATGTTATGACAAAATGTTCATCAGGGAAAAGGTACAAAATTTTAACCTTGACCTTTGGTCAATTGACTCCTTGTTTAATTCTGAGCAACATTGCTTCAAAGTGTCATAGTGAAATGTTCACCAGTGAAAAGATACAAAATTTAACCTTGACCTTTGACCCAATGACCTTTACCTTTGGTCAGTTGACACCTTGTTTAGTTCTGATCAACTTTGCTTCATCATGTCATAATAAAAAATTCATCAGTGAAAAGATGCAAAATTTGACCTTGACCTTTGAATCTCATGACCTTGACCTTTGACCTCAACTTTTTACCTCAGTTTGTCTCTTTGTTTAATTCCGAACAACTTTGCTTCATAATGTCATAGAGAAATGTTCACTAGTGAAAAGCTACAAAATTTGACATTGACCCCTGACCCGATGACCTTGACCTTTGGTCAGTTGACTCCTTGTTTAATTTTGATCAACTTTGCTTCATAATGTCATAACACAATGTTCATCAGTGAAAAGATGTAAAATTTGACCTTGACATTTGAACCTAATGACCTTGACCTTTGACCTTGACTTTTTACCTCAATGTGTATTTTTATGAACTGAACATCTTGACCAAGTTTCATGTACATCAGTCAATAAATACCAAAGTTATCAGCCAGGAACAAAATATGTGGACGAACAGACAGACAGACAGACAGACAGACGATACGGGGCCCTAATTAACCATATGGGCAGTCAGTATTTTTAACGTATAGGGGGAAAGGCGTCACAACAACACCAACCACCCTATATGTAAAAATAATGTTGCCATTATGTATATTGCCAATTCATTTTGGAATGAAAACCTGCCAACGTCTGAACATACCGGCAAGTCGCAGGCATTAACTATTCAAAATACCATTTTTCGGTTTTTATAGGCAGCAAATGTGTTGATGACATCCTAAATGTTCACATGCGTTTCCCTGTGCACATGTAGTACGGCCAATGATGACAAACGGTCCTGGCGTGTTGCTGATCTTAGATACGTTTTTATTCGCCGAAGGACACTGAAAGACCTCTTGGCTGTCGCTGTGGAGACGGGCATGGTCAGGAGAATTAACAGGGTGTTGTGAATTGACGGATAGAGGTTAGGGCTGGTCCGATTGAAGGTATCCACTAGGGTTTGCGGCTTATCCTCTGCTATACGCCAACGTGTTTTCCACCTGTCAACCTCACTCCTGAAGTCCGCAGTATCGTTTGGCACATCGCTCTGGAAGGATTGGTGAATGGCAACAAGAGCGGGATCATCGAGTTCTCCCGTCTTTGCCGGAAGCAGTTGGAGGGCCCTAAATCTTGACTCTTCCCCGAGAAGTCGGTCTTCAATCTCCATGATTATATGATCTATGAAGATATAATATAGTGACCTTCGCCAGTATTCTGATGGATTAGCAGCAGGCACGTTGTTTCGATTTTGCTGGCGTCCGACGCGTCGTGGGATGGACGGTTCTATGCCGTAGAGGCGGCTGATCCTGGTCGTCTCGTCAGAGATCCCAGCCAAGACAATATCGTTGTTACGCTCTGCCCGTAGTGTTGCCACCACGACACGACATTCTTCCATGGCGGACCACATGTCACATGACACGCTCTGGAGGAAGATCGACAGGTGTACGACGGTTTTCAGAATGTGCTCGCACAAATAGAGCCCAATGAGGAAATCAAACCTAAGCATGGAGTTAAGGTGGATTCCGGCCTTATCGTTGTTTTGTCCACGGAGGAACTCCAACGCGTCAACGACCACTGGCAGGGCGTTTTTGAATGTGGTCAGTGCATCAGCTCTTGCAGTCCATCGCGTTTCGAACAGCTTGACCAATTTTATTTTTCTCTCCTGGTTGACCTGCACCTCAAGGTTTCCTGACAGTTCGTCCAGAAATGCCTCCATACGTTTGGCAGAGTAATGGAATGCAAAGCCAATCTCCTGTACTGTCGCCATCATTGTTCGGACACAGGGTTCCTTACATGAATGGACTACAGCAAGGTTTAGGCAGTGCGCTTTACAATGTATGTATGTGGCATCAGGGGCATGCTGCTTCATTAGTGCCTGTACCCCATTGTGCCGACCTGACATATTACTCACCCCATCATATCCCTGTGCCCTCATCTTGCCAATGTCGATAACTCGATCCTGTAAAAATGTCACAAGGAGGTTGCATATCTCCACTCCTTTTAGGCTCTTGGCATGGACGAAGCCCAGAAACTGCTCCACTACCTCTGCACCCTCTGGCTTAATGTCAATGTAGCAGACACACTCACAAAGCTGGGTAACTGTGGATTTGTCTGTCGTCTCATCTGCAAGTAAAGCAAAGTACTTTGCCCTTTGACACCTGTTGATCAGACATTTTGATACTTCCTCAGCGCAGTGTCCGATAAGCTCGTTTTGGATATCAGGTGAAGTGTATTTTGCAATAGGTGTCGGGTTTGCCACGTGATCAGCCAAAATAGCATCGTCAGCAGCAACGTTGTCAATATGGACATAGAGTTACTCTTCTCTTCTGTCTGACCACGCAGCGGAATGTTCTGACGGGAACAAAGCAGAATAACATCTATGATCTTGCGCAAAATGTGTCTGTTCCGTCGGACATCTATCTGGTGGGACGATGAAAGAGAACTTTGTATCGATATGATCCCTTTATCACACATAATGTCCTCAAAGTTGACACCCATTTCAACAAGGCCATGGTGTGGCGAATCCTTGGATAGGTGACGTTTTACGAGGTGTGGGAGGTTGGACCAGTCCGACACAGGAGAAGAATAGCCAAATGTTTTGCATTTCTGGTCATTTTGTCCGAAAACAGAACAGTACACACAGTATAAACAATCTTTTTCTATGGAGTACCTCAGCCATTCATGTGTCGTGAGCCATGTGTGATTTAATTTTCTGTTTTTAGCACCAATATTCATGTGAACATAAGTGGGACAGGACAGGATTAGTCAGATCAATTTTATTAGGAGAAGCAGGTGTATGCAGTAAGATGTTGTGTATATATATTTTATGGTTATTTGGTATTCATTTTTTTCTATTTTATTTTGATACGCATACGCACTTAGATTTGCTGATCGTTCGAAACCTGCGATCCGACTAACCCCACGCTCCTCTACATTTTCCACGTCGAGTCTCTTCTACTATGCACATTTTGAAAACGTAAGTTTGGATTTTATGTATAGCACAAATTGTTCAAGTTGACTTTTAGTCAGATGTTAAAGCTCTCGTGTATATATATACAGGTCGTTAACCACAAATCGATGATAATATCAAATATCACCACCCATACACTACATAGAGCGACCTGCAAACTTAAAAGTTAAGCTAATAGAAAATAAAAATGAACTTCGTCCTACAAATATATTAGTTTACACAAATTTACAGAGACAATGGAGGGGGTTTAAAAGAGGGTGTATACGATAATACGAACTAATATTATTAAAACAGTCTGCAAAGAACTTTAAAAGACTAAATCAGGCCGCACCATATTTAAAAATTACAGATTTTAACTGCATTTTAAACTAAGCCTAATTTCGATATAAAAAAGACGACTGTCGTACCTTGTAGGGAAATTAAAATCCCTTCCCTTTTCCCATTTCAGTCGGAGAAGATCCGTTTTGGCTTTACTGTCGAACGACAATTTAGTCAGGGTGGTGTGGAGCCAGTAGTGGGATAGGTACAACTGTCGATATGTCGGCATGTGCCCCGGAATCGCCAGGGGTAACGTCGGGACTTTCAGCAGGTGCATCGTCTTTGGTTTTTGGTTTAAAGAAGGAGTCAATTTTCCTTGTTTTCTGACTTTTCTCCATTTTTGTTTTTTGTGTAGTAACAACTTCCTGTAATACTAAATCTCGACCAAATCTGCCGCGGATGTATCCAGATCGATTCGTTACGTGTCGCAGATGTATTGTCCAAAGCGAGATAACTCTTGTTTATTAGCTAACTAAGTAACTTAGCATACGTTTTTTTAGAATAGGTAATTAATTGACAACAAAAATCTTATCTGGTTTACATAATTAATGTATTTGAGGTGGTTTGGCGTACTAATATGCCTCAATATTTTTACTGTACTTAATTTTTTTAAGTGTACGCACGGGCGTTTCTGCGTTATGGCTGCTACGCGTATGGCTAGTGGTAATTATTAGACAAATTGCAGCTAGGGTATCAAAACAAATATTACATTGCTTAAAACAATGTTAAGTACAAATACCGCCGCGGAGTATGTATTTCAAGGAGTCTTCCATGCTCAAAATCTTGTAGATGAAAAACAGCTTGACTATTTCCTGGAATTTCATGTTTGTTCCTGAATAGCTCCATATTGCCAAAATAGTTGGTATCAAGCGCTAATTTCTTAAAAAATAGTTTAGGCCCTAAATGTTAATCACAGAACTGCAGTATATGGAGCTGCTGCACCGGTAGAATCGACCTTTCGAAGGGTACTCGTAGTTGATCTTTTGCGAGTTTGATTTGATTTTGTTTAACGTCCTATTAACAGCTAAGGTCTTTTAAGGACGTACCTCCATGTGTGTAATGTATGCGTGCTTGCGTGTGTGTATGCAGGAGACCGGGTATGCTGGTGTGCTTGCGTCCTTGTGATAGAGCGGATCAGATGCCGCCTTCATAGTGCTATCTCACTGAAATGCCACCCCGAAGGCAACCAGCACAGCCTTCCGTCCGGTCACATTATACTGACAACGGGTGAATCAGTTGTTGCCATTTACCTAAATGCTGATCGTTAAGCAGGGAATAACAACTACCATTTTTAAGGACTTTGGTATGTCCTGGCCTTCCTCATTTTGGCGAACGCGCAACATTCAAGCCAAAAGTGAGGTATTGCCAAGCAAGGCGATAGGAAATAAAAGGTAGGTAGAAGTAGAAAGTAAGATAAAGTTCCCAAATATTGCAATGGGCGTAGCAGATTAACTTTGGTCCCTTTTGTGTCTCCAAATAGAGGACATCAAAGTAAATCCCCAGTTCTGCAGGGGTATTATCATTAGTCGCTTTCTACGATACATGCAGTTGGCAATAGCAGGTGTATACTTTTCCCGATCCCCAACCTGCAGGGGTGTCTTTGGCGGGATACGAGACTAAAAAGATACGAGAAATATTCATTATAAGACTAACACCAACTATAAACTCTGGATATATTGAATATTTTGCATATTGTGAATAAATAATTCATCATACTTTAAATTTGATATTACCTTTTATTTTTCTGTTACAGTTATATTAAACAGCTTTCCTGAGATCAGCAATATTTTACGTCGGCATTAGCTCCACGCTATCACAAAGAAGCAATACACCGACATACCCTGTCGCTGGCACACTTAAACACATGCAAGCAAACACAACACACATGGAGCAAGTCCTTAAATGACCTTAGATGTTGATGGGACGTTGAACCCTGTACACGTTTTGATTTGTTTTGTTTAACGTCCTATTAACGCCCCATTTTAATCGCCTTTTACGATACACATGCAGTAGAATACAGCTGGCATATTCTATTCCCGAACCTGCGTGTGTCCAGTTGGCATACTATGTTGCTGTATTCGCCTCGTTGAGCTGGGTGCCTTTGGCATGGTAATTCAGTGAGATAGCACTAAAAATTTGGCATCAGATCCGCGGAAAAGGAGGCAAATCGCCAACACACCCTGTCTCTCCTGGACACATGCACCAGGCATATACAACACACATGGAGGAGCATCCTTCAATGATCTTAGCTGTTTAAGTCTTTACATCCATCCATGTATTACCCTAAATGCTGACTGTTAAGCAGGAAATTACATCTTCCATTTTTGAGGACTTAACATGACCTGGCCTAGGGACAGAACCTATTGCCTTCCTCATCTAGGCGAACGTTCAACATTTAAGCCAAAAGTGAGGTGATGTCAGACAAGGCGCTAAGAAATTAAAGGTACTTAAAAGTAGAAAGATCCCAAATATTTCAATAGATACAGCAGATTTATTTGATCGTTTTTGTGTCCCTTAGTAGTGGGCTCAAAAGCGAATCCCCAATTCTGCAGGGCCTCACACATTGGTCGCCTCTTACGATACATGCAGCGAGTACAGCAGGTTTAAGGGTTTAGAATTATTTTGGATAAAAAAATGTTGATTAGAATTTATATTTCAAATCTCTATCAATAATATTGTGATGTAGTAAACAAAATACTTGGCGCCATGATTGGTTTTCCTGACTCCCTCACTATTGAGTTTGAGACACTAGCAAGAACAGACTGACTCGCTTTTTTACTCAGTGGATATTCATAATAAAAACAAGTCAAGTATAATTGTATTTTCAGGATTATTCTCACCAGGTCGTCCTATGAAATACACATAAATCCAAAAAAAAATACACCAAGTGAAATGAAGAAGTGAAATATATTCGTAGAGAGTCCACCAATTAAAATATACAAGGAAAAATTGGACGAGCTTATTGAGTTTTCCTAAATTGAGAAAAGTGTTGGTACGGAAAATTCTGGAGCAGTTCAGAAAGTTTATTAACAGTACGAATTGTTCGATTCCTTTGGAAAATCCTGCTGGAAACACCAGGAGAACATTAGGATCCCCTAATAGGTTTCTAAATATATTATTTCAATACACTTATTAACGCGCACGGATACACATATATTTTTAATTCAATAAAATACCGTAGAAGAAATGAATTCAACTCTTCAATACGTTTGGCTCCTCACCATTAAATAGGGTTTAAAATGCATCATTTCAGTTTGCCGATTCAAATTTTACGATGAACTAACTGTGTATTCTTTACCTATACGCACGAAATTTTCCCCGGCTTGGGCTCAATCAGACTCTTCTGGTGAATAATGTTGCTTGAGATACTGATGTTTTCAGGAAATTTGCTGTATGGAAACAGGTGTGAATCAGGCTAAATAAAATTAACAATAATATATATTCATAACGCGAGCACCCTTTCCCAATGATGTTAAAGTAATAATTCAGTTGATCTGGTAGGTATGCCACGACGAAAGCAAACTATTCACAAAAGACTCGTGGAACACTGCCTTTGAACTGGTACAGGATCACATAGATTATGATATCTTCCTTGGCATTAAAACCAGTCTGTAAACAAATATCGAATAGTATCCTGTATTCATGTGATTGTCAAGTTCCTTTTTAAAGAGTCTGTGGGAAAATTCACTAGCACGCTTTCATTTACGGGTTTTAGTTCAATGTGAATGACACATGGTATTGATCACTCATTAATCATTTATTATGTAGATGGAATACTTGAACACAACATCATCAAGCATGATTGCATTTTGTAATGCCTGGTCAAGACATTCAATCGTGGTCAAGAGTGATAGTTCTGGTCAGGTGACAAAATTGATATCGCGGTTAAGACTACACATTTGTTTTGAAGACTTATTGAGCCTCGGTAAAAACTTATCAACTCGCGTCGACAGGTATATATATTATTACAATTCCCAGTCCTACAACTCGTTGATTTGATCAACTATTTCGTTACCTCCATTTTTATAACAATTTTTCGAGCGTTCCCTCCGGCGCTCTGTGTGAAATTAATTGGTTCAGATATAAGATTACCTGATTTACTTCCTTTAATTGATATATCACATTTACTGTCATCGCTTGCTCAGCACATGTTCCTAGTCTACGCTCTAAGAAATGGACAATCTAATAACATTTAAGTTACACGGAGTATTTTCGGATTTGCTGCAAGAGATCGATGTTTTGCCGTAAAATTATCTGTTTGGTGCACAAGAATCAGTTATCGATTCCTCAACTAGACTACAGACGGTGATTTTGTTGTTCGTATGACATAAATTATTCATACAGTTCCCTTACCTTGAACTACAGGTGGAAAGTATTGTTAATACTTTTCAGCTGAATTGACACATTCTTCAAATACCAATGATTTTACATATATACACATACTTCACTTTTGTATATAATGAAAGGGCAACTATAATAAGTCTGGTACTTGACACATTTCCGATAACATTAATACTTCAAAAGCTATAAGGGTAGGTAGGCCTGCATCTCGGTAGAGTTCATTTAGGTTTCATATTGTCTAGTTATGCTATTTTGTGGTTTTATTTTAAGTTTTAAATTTTAAATTGGCTTCCGAAATCGATTTTTAAACAAAACCGTACAGTGCAAGCTGACAATGTATGCACTATTACATATCTCGAGCTGTATATATAAAGAAGGCAGTGTTGATGTCAGTGTGAAAGCTGACAAGGCATTCACTATTTCATATCTCGAGCTATATATATAAAGTAGGCAGTGTTGATGTCAGTGTGAAAGCTGACAATGCATACACTATTTCATATCTGGAGCTATATATATAAAGTAGGTATTGTTGATGTCAGTGGCTGTATTTTTTACAATTTGTCCAGAAACGTAAGCTGTAAAATGTAGTTATTGCGCCATATCATACTATAATACATATATGTTATTTGTATATTAAACCACACATATACGCTGCAAGCTGTTCCCGCGTTTAAGTCAATGAAATGCAATGAAGCAGACGACACAAGATATCACCTGGTAGACTGCTATACGCGTTGTTTATAACCTGCGTCTCGGCTAGCCAGACAGAGTATTAGATTATATTTGATAGATAGGAAACCGAAAATGACTGAAGTAAACGACGCCGTATTCCACGACGATTATCAGGTGGTCCCACAGACATTACCAAAGCACCTCGACACTGACCAGGTCCAAGTTGTATCGCACCAATGGCGGTGCATTCGTGCATGGAAGAAGATCAGGCGGCGGTTGAAGGAAGATAGACGATTCAAAGGAAAGGTGTATTACAGTGTGTGTATATATTTTGCATTCTTCGTCATCGTAAGTATAACATTTTTATGTATATTACCCAAAACTTCGTTTCATTGATGTTCCCCTTTGTATATCTTGATAGCCTCTGACAGAATGATACAGTTGGTTAGCATAGTGTTAGGTTAGCAGCTATTTTGTACAGATTGTTTTTTCCTCAATGGAATGATTCTTAATTTGTCTCGGAGTAGCTTACGCAGCCGTTGACACTGCCCTCGAATATTTTTTTTAAGTAATAAACTAAACAAAATTAATATAAAACAACACATTGTGTTTTGTTTAAGATGGTTTTGTTGTCACCTCGGTATTCTGTCTCAAGACTGGGACATACCAAAGTCCTTATAATGGTATTTGTTATTCCCTGCTGAACGTTCATCATTTAGGGGAATTGCAACAACTGGTTCACCTGTTGTCAGTATAATGTGACCAGGCGGAATTTGTGTTGGGTGCCTTCGGCATGGTATTTCAGTGAGATAGCAGTATAAATGCGGCATCAGATCCGCGCTTTCACATACAATATAAACATACAGAAACGCATGCACGCTTACATAACACATATGGAGGTACGTCCTTAAATGGCATCCGCTACAAAATTAAACCAAACTGTGTTAACCCCTGCAGGTCCAGGGAAGGAATGGACCCACTGCACACTGCATTCTTTTGCTTGTGGTGTGGACAGTTCTGAGCCCCTTGGTCTGCAACGTTTCGGATCGAAACCTCTCTCTCTCTCTCTCTCTCTCTCTCTCTCTCTCTCTCTCTCTCTCTCTCTCT